CATTTATTCATCAAAATGAAACAATTATTAAGAGAAATGAAACCTTTCTGGGTTTTTGTCCCATATTCTTGTCGTACTTTTTACCAACTTTTTTTTTCTTCTTCTTACAGGGACATTTTATTATCAAAAAATGAATTCTTCAATGCACTCTGCAGGCCAAGTTACCAGTCAAGTTCAAGTCCCTGCCTGTCATGGTATAATTTTTATTATCATGTTGATGTCAAATTATAAATGAACCTTATAGATGGAGACAATGCTGGGGAAACAAATCATCACACCTTTCCAACACACTGACTTGCCAAACATCATTAAAAAAACAAACATTTGATATGTCAATCTTTCTTTTTATTGTAATTTACTAACTAATTAACTAACAGGATAATCCTGGTTTATTAAAACGTGGGCCTTATGTTTGTGGTTTTGGCCATCCTCTCTATCAGTTATGATAACACCGCACTCAAGGTAATTGTTAACTGCTTGGAACACACGCTGACAGCACTCCAATGAATCAGTTGAGATAAGAAAGTGGTGAGATGACAAGACATGTTGTAAACAAGTCAGTAGTGAAACCAGATTAGAACTTTATGTGGTAAACCTATGGTGTTGGTAAAAATCCCTCATTGTGAGGAGAACTATGCGTGCACAACTATGGCAGGTATGTTATGAGAGAAGTGAAGCAGGAAGTCTTTAAAATGTTCCGACGGTCTCACCAATCATCTGTTTTCTGTTTTTTTGTATATTTAAAACCTTTTTTTCTGCCTCTTCTAACTTCTTTCAGAGATCAAGTCAGTCGGGATTAATTCAAATCATAGCTTTATAAAGAGTAACACTCTTATCCTACTTTTGTTCATGTTTTTAACTTTCTATAGTGTTATCTGTCGCTATAATAGGAGCCTTTCAGGTTTAATATTATCTAATTATGGCTGAGACATAACTGAGCTGCTCAACGAACTGCCCCTTTAAGTATACACTCATCACAACCTTGTACAGTAAACAGATGACTTTTACAACCATGCCACTTTGAACAATTACCACACAAAAACAAACCTCACTCTCTTTTTCTTTCTCCGTGTCTCTACTGTTATCTGTCTCTGCGCTGCATCTTGGAGTGATTTAATGAGACATTAAGTGGGACGTGACACATCGGTTCACCGCACAAAAAACACACACATACATGTCGTTATCCTGAAAATACAGCTCTCGGCTGAGCTGTTTGCAGCGTGGGGAGTCAGGAGTTGATTGTCTTGTGTGTGTGGGTTGTTTTTTCTGCGCTGGTTTGCGGATGAGTCACTGCCGTGTCTATGGGAAGACATCGGTCTGCGGGGCTGCTCCACCACAAGCCACATGAACATTCTCTCCCGCAAACATTGGCAGACTATCAACGGTGGAGCACTGCTGCCCTCTGTAGACTTGACACCTTCGGTTAAAGGCTGTGTGAATGTGTGTTGTACCTGTTTATGTAGCTGAGGGCCAGATAAGTGGGCTGCTGTTGCTCTTGCTTCTCCAGAACTCTTGGATCTGTGTCTGAGAGAGAGAGAGAGACATTCAGATTAATCATTGCTCTCTGTGGAGGGAAAATATCCTGTGAATATTCTCAGTATGTAGCTGAGTCATACATCCATTCTTCCTGCCAGAGCGACTGATAGATTACTGGACGTTTCTCACACTGCATTCTCTGTATAAGTCTGTAATATATGGCAGCCTGCAGATACATTTCGAACACTTTCATAAGCGGCGCATTATTACACCAGCATCAAACCCGCTCTAATTTAGTACCAGTGCCTTTCCCTAAGTGACCCAAGGCTGCTTAATCATCGCTGGAGTCTGAATGTGGCAAAGAGGAAATTTGTCAGGGAGTGAAGGAGCGACTTGGAAGCTCTGATGAATGTACACAGTGTATTACTCAAACGGACACATACACATACACATACACACGCTTTTTCCAGTTGACTTGCTAAGTCAGTAACACTACAGTGAGTAACTTCCAGTGCCTCAGGGAAACAGTGTTTAAATTTAAAGCCCCCCCCCACTCCCACATCCCCGGAAAACAGGAGCAAGTGAGCATGAGAACATGCTGCAGCTGTTTGCATCTGTGAAGCACCAGTGCCACCAAGTGTTCGAATGTTCGCACAGAGCCAAACTTAGAGACAACTAGTGGGTTTATGTGCATGTAAGCATAACTGTAGGAGCATATGTAATGGCTAGCAGATGTATCACGATTCGGATCCAAGAGCTGCATCATATGTGCAAAAACTAACGCACTCCTAGATTCTCCTTCCAACCAATCCCAAGTATGTGTGTGCTCGCATGTTGGCCCTCTCAGCCCTTTGGTTTTCAGGCTTTCACACCTCATAATTAAAAAAGAATGCAGACTTCACACAGTGCAGAGGAACACCAAGGAGACCAGCAAACACGAAAACAACCCAAGGCAAAAAGGCAAACTACTACCACTAGTACCACCCCTGCTGCTGCTGCTGCTGCTACTGGTGCACAGACCAGTGTCTTATGCGTTAGTACACATTCATATCATGAAAGAAGAAAAGGTAAATAAAGAGCAGGGATACCAAGCACCCATGGACACAAACGTGGCTGACACACAAACTTTCACTAACATACAACTGAGGTGGTCTACAGAGGTGGTCTTTTATAGCTGTGTCTTAATAATCCTACCTGCTGCTCAGATGAAGAGACCAGAGCACCTACACCCACACATAAACACACACACATAGACACACAAACACACACACTCTTAGACCTACAGCATTGCCAAAGTGGAGTCATGCAACAGTGTCCATTTGGAAACCACAGAGTTGGAACCTTTTTGTAGCAGTGCTAGAACAAATTCTATAAATGTAATTAATAAACATGAATAATCACTTTTTGGAATATAATGTGTAGATATTACTCAGGATGTTTACAGACAAGAAAGAAAGAGCGTCTACAATATGGTAGTATAGGTTGAGAAGTACCATGACGAACACTGTAACCAAGCCCAGAATTATTTAGACAGGAGGGTTTTTTGAGCTTCAGTATAGAGGTGGGTATTTGAAGTAAAATAATGGATTTTACATTTAAGTGCCAAGTCTCTGCTTGTATTTCAGTAGGCCCATCCATTATTTACACAGCTTATCATGTAAGGGTCGCAGTGGGGCTAGAGGGAAGAAGTAGGAAATAGGTGGAGCACCTGGAATAACCCACATGAGCTGTGAGGTGACAGTCTTTGCCATCGTTGGAAGCCTAACTGGACATGGGGAACACTACATTTCCTGGAAATTGGAGAGATTTTAGAGCATGAAAAGTAAACAAAAGGTAGTGAAATATATGTAAGAACCGGCTGATGTGCCTAACATCCTACAAATGAAATCAGTTAGCTGCAAACCAATGAAAAGCTGAAAGCACCAATCCCCCTCTAATTGAGCTCTAGGCATAAAAGTATATGTACTACAGCCTGCGGATACTACAAATGCTGAGGAGAAAAGTACTAAAGTTTACTACTCTGTTTTAGGGGAACTACCTTCAAAGAATCACTTCTGCTCAAGACTGACAGACCCAAACATAGAAAACCTGCTGTGAGTATCATCATCATCATCTTCATCATTACCATCTGTCATCAGAAACCTACAAAAAGAGTTTCAGTTTCAGTCGTTGCATTAGAGACTTTGTGCAATATATATAATAATATTGTACGGCCCATGAAGGGTTACTCAAAAATGTCACGGTCCTTGATGAGAGAAAGGTTCTACACCTCTGGGACGACGGTTAGGAAAGTAGTAGCTATGGTTAAGGTTATGTCCCAAAAATCCAAGTCAACGTAATGTCGTCTGAAGTCCAAGAGACACAAGTGTGAGTTTGTTTGTTTGTGTGCGTGCTTGTGCGTGTGCGCATGTGTGGAGAGGAAACAGGGAGAAAGGGTGTTGGACTAAGCCAGGTGCACAGAGCAAGTTGCAGTAAATGTTCACCGGTTTTATGACTTCCGCTCACCGAGCAGGACAGGAAGCTAACACACTGCTGATCCTACTGCCAGGGCAGGAGGGGAAACAACTAATCCACACAAAAATTAACACAGAGACTGACTCTAACCCTGACAATATCCACAGCTTGCCTACCCTAACTTCAACCACTCACCCAAAAATCAGCTTTTACTCACTTAGGGACAGAGTAGCACAAGCTGTCTCCAATTAGCTGATTTTTAGTTTGAAATCTGTCCCCAACGTTAACCTACGAGAGATACACAAAACACACACACACACAGATAAACTACACACTATCTTCCTTTTTAATTAAATTACAAAGTTTTAGATTTAAACTCTCCAGTCCAGCGCCAGCAGCCTAGATGCGTTTTCCATCTGCGTGTGTGTGTGTACACATTTTTCATCACATGTGTGCTGCATGTCTGAGACATTGCCAGTCTCACAGGGCCATAAATTTCTCCCTAATTAGCATTCCTGTCATTAAAAGCAGCACCCAATCAACAGCCACTCCAGGCATTTCAACACAGACATCCATCTCTCGCCAACAGCACACTGCTGCCCCCTGCTGAATACCTAGTGTCTGCATTGTGTCCATAAGCATGTGAAAATATGTAGTGTGTGTGTGTGTGTGTGTGTGTGTGTGTGTGTGTGTGTTGAAACCAGGCCAAGAATGCATGGCTTGTTCGGCAGGCCGCTAATTAAGCCACAGAGTGCATTTTAACATGTTCCAAGAGCAGCAGGAAACCGGATGGAGGGAGAGGAGGAGGAGGAGAAGGAGAGGGAGCAGGGGGGACGTGGGTGGGTGGGGGGGGGAAGGCAAACTTCTCTGTAATTACACTTCCTAGGGCTTGGTTGGGTGCTCGGGCCCTGTGAATTCCAAAAGGTGATCCGTGTGACTAAAGCGTGTGAGTGTGTGTCTGTGTGTGGATGTATATTTGTAGCGTGAAAAGAGAGGGCCTGCAGTTTCCATCTTAGGATGCCAATCCACTAATTGCTGCACTACACCCTGACAGGTCATTTAGGAAGTATGGTAACCACACTCCCACACATGCACAAACACACACAACCCCGTTGCACCTCGGAAAGTAGGAGGAGAAACAAGCTGGCATGTGGGGTTGGAAAATAAACATTTCAATAATTCTGATTATCTTATACATCAGGATTTTTTTTTTTTTTTTTTACTATAAACACTAAGCCAATCAGTCCCCAGCTCTACTTGCAGGATAAAACTAATTATGTACAAAGACATCTGGTAATTCACCTGTTTATATCCTATATCCAGGCAGATTTACTCTTATTGAAAACACTAACAGCAGCAGGAGACAGGTTTCTATCAGTCAATGCCAGACAGGTAACAACAACTCCTCCATGGTGTGTTAACAATTGCCTTTTCTATCTGCCACAGCAGGAAAAGGACTCAGGCCAAATATGTCCTGTGACGATTGTTACGTCTTTAAAAAATGACTGGAGGTTCTTTATCAACATGCTTCAGCAGCACCAACATTATTATACAACGCTGACCTGGCTCTAAGTCACAGCTCACACTTTTAGTCAAGCTGTAAAATCTAATCTGAATAAAAAACAAGGTGTTTGGGGTTTCCCTGTTTTCTTGACCTCATATTTTTCCTTTCTTTATCTCCCCTTTGAAATCTCTTCCCCACTTTTAATCCCTGTCTGCCTCCCTCCCTCCCTGCACTTCTTTGTTGATGTAAGAGGCAGGTATGTGCCTGTGCAGGTGAGAACACAACTCACCGCTGGCGTGCACGCAGGCAGAGTAGCCTGACATCATTGCATTCCTCAGACCTTAGATAGAGTGCCCCACACAAAGCCTGCAACACCACCACACTAAACACAACTCACCTAACCCATTTCCTCTTGCTTTCAGCTGTGATCTAAACAGTGCGGGTGTCTCATTGGAGAGCGGCGGCACTTTCTTCTGGGATGAGGTCAGCAGCGCCAACCGGCACATCACGCCAGTTTTCTCACGGAAAAGATCATCTGGTCTGCTGGCTGCCAGATATCATGTCAAAGCAGGCGGCGGTCCAAAGAAGTTACAAAGTGAGATCATTGAGACTTTTTGAGGCTATGCAACGGAGGATATCTTACCACAAGGGGGCAGCATAGTCTACTGTAATGACCGAAATCCATCTGTACCCTGACCTGAAAAACCACTGACTCCCATCTACCACTATTTATGTCTGCTCTCACAAGCCCGTTATCACCTCCAGGTTATCTGATTTATGGTTAGCGCCATCTTTTCTCATAACCTGTCCGCACACTGCAGGACAAACCACAAATCAAAGCTAATCTGTTATCTCCCAATCCTCAAACAGCTTATCCCAGGTCTCATGCGAAGGGGTTAAGAGGATCAAATTAGCTTATCTTTTGACTGATTATTGATCACACACCACTGCACCGCTTCAAAACCAAAGGAGAGTCGGTGCTAAATGCCACTAACCCCCCTGCGTCGCCTCTATCTCCCACACTCTCACCTCAATCCCTTCCATCTGTCACACTCATCCCCGTTGTCACTGATCTGCAAGCGGTATTGATCAGACTGTTCCGGATACCACTGATGACCAGCCGCAGTATAAAGCGAGCAGACGGCGTACTCATTAATTCAAGCGATCTGACTAGTAAACCGCCATTCTGCTCAGCTGACTGCTGGGGTCAAAGTTCAAGCTAAGAGCCAGATGGGGCATCTCTCAGTGGCTGTGTGTTTTTTTTTCTTTTGGTTTAAAAAACCTTTAATATTATTTTAACTGAGGTGTTGTAGGAAACATTGTGGCCCACAGCCACAGGTGCTAGTGAAGATAAAAGAAAAAGAAAAATCTAATTTACCTCATTGGTAAATTTGGACGATCCTTGGAGCATATGGCAGGATGAAGTAAACCAACCACCCTGCTCCACTTTCCCCTACAAAAATACAACTAGACCCCTCTCAAACATCAGCCCCCGTCCCACACGTGAGTGATGCGACGTCGCCGGGTGTCCTCATCACAGCTGGCTGAACGAGGGGGGGGGGGACGCTCTTTGTTAGCGCGACAGCAGGTGTGCAATAACTCAGCCAGTATTACTGCCCCCAACCCCTTCAGAGGCTGCCAGTTGCCATGGAGACAGGCTCAATGAAGCATCCACCCTCCCACCCCCCTCCCCACCCCACCGCCTCCTGAGGATGGATACATGCTGCAAATAACGATTAGCCCACAACAACTTTGTTACAGTTTTTTTTTTTGTGGTTGTCAACTCCCCAAGTATAATAATCAACCCCTCTATAGTGGATTGTAGATGAACCTACACAAGTTTATTATTTCTGCAGTGGAGCGAGTTAGATTCATGCTTCAGATGAATAGTTTAAATATTAACAAGCATCACATTGCCAAGATACATCTGAATGAATTTCCACTCGCATATCAACATCATAGCAAAGCAACTCTCCCTTATCAAAACCATGCCAACTACTTCAATCATACACAATTAGTAACATTTTATATATTGAGAATTAGTCTGCAGCTTATAACATCGTCATTAAAACTTATTAACTTATCTTATATGGGGTTTTCCTTGAAATGCACCACTATTTGTGACTTGACTGATAAAAGTAGGCCATCATTTACCAATTGGCACATCAAAATAAATGAAATGCATGGTTACTTTTTCCCCAGCTGTGGTGTTTACCCAGTTACTATCTTTGTCTTCTGTTCAGTGATGGTGAAACTGGCTGTGGTGGGTGCCAGGTGACAGTGATCACACGGTTTTTCAGTCTAAATGGAAATGGAGGTCCAATAAACAACAAACAGACGCTTGTGGAGTAAAATCTGATTAAATCCCTGCATGTCTGTCACAGCCTGGTTTAATCTGATGCAGCGTCAATGGTAATGGAGTGACACCAGCTTAATGCACAGATGTGATGTGCTGACGAGCTGAGACACCCGAGGTGACAAAAGCAACAAGACCGTGGAGTAGCTCGACACCCGGCGGTGTGCAGCCGCTGCATCAGGCCCGCGGACGTAAACACTCTCCTGCAACGCTAGCTGACAAACCGCTGCCTGGCCGGGATGCTAGTTACACCTATGAGACCTCCGCGGCCCTCGCAGCCGGGTTACCGCTGCAAAAGAGGTAACTCTCACGGCCCCAGTGAAACATACATGTGCGGACACGTATTTCATGGAGAAGCGGAGTTTGCTGTTGCCACTCGGTGCAGGAACACTCCAGCGCCGGCGAGCCTCGACTCGCAGCGGGCAGCAGGAATAGCGGAATGCTGCGCCGGGGAGCCTATCTACGCGAAGCTAGCTAGCTCGGACGCTACGGCGGCTAACAGCAGCTAGCAGCCTAGCTCCGGCTGCCACCCCCCCTCCCTCCCTGCGGCCCGACTCACCGATGTGATTATCCTCGATGTGGACGATGAGCTCGGCGAGAGACTCGAACTGGAGACCGCAGCCCCCGAACCTGCAGGAGTTGGAGAAGAAAGAAGCGGCGGCGATGCCCGTCATGGTCGCGGCGCTGGTGCATGCACCGGGAAGGGGGGAGGAGAGGGTTCGGGGAGCCGGGGGGTGGTGAACGAGGAGGCTTCGGGTCCGGGGCGGGAGAGGAGCGGAGCAGCGGGGCAGACACCGGGGGAGACAGACGGGACAGCGGCGAGCGCAGCTGGGAGGAGGCGGGACGGTGGGGGKGGGGAWGGGGGAAGGAGGAGGGCTGGCTGGTGAGGGCCTACGTCATGACCTGCCTACCTGTTGGGATCAAATATACATATACATATAATAACTTTATTATAGAAATTATTATACTGTAATAGACATAGGAAAATACCTACCATACCAAGTGAGTTATATATATATATATAATACAATAATTATTGGAATGTACCTACCTGTCTGTATATAAAGAAATATAGATATATTATCTATATCTATGTATATATACAGGCAGGTAGGTAGGTATATTATAGATCTAATTATTTCATATCAATTATATTATAGGGGATTATTATTATATTATAGTTTTTAATATTATAGGTTATTTTCAAATTTTACTTTATTCAATATAAGATGTGCATATGGTGCCAAACATTCACAACACAATATTACTATACTTTATCATATGCTTTATATGTATACCAATAGTAAACAAGATGAAAGATGGGCGTATAAGTCAAATTAATATCTTAATATAATATATACATTGTGTTAATACTTGATACTATTTTGAATTTGTTGTCAGATTTTTTGTATTGTGTCATGTCCAATGTAATGTGAATACAGTTAAATATAAAATAATTTGATGTATAATCTATATCTGTAATCTTCAATAATGCATGTAAATCTTCTTTGCATTAACAGCAAACCCATATTGTTCAATGGACTTACAGGCTTATGCTATGTCTGTAGCTTATGAACACATATTTTAGATACTACCTGCAGAGTTAAGACATGTCATTAAAATTCTAATTAATTCGTGTTCCAAAAATTATATGGAAGAGTAGCTAAATAAAATCTAATATGAATTAATTTGATTAATATGTAACATTTTATCGAACTGGAAATCATCTACTGTCGATGACCTGTGGCAAGTAATATTCTGTACATTTGATCTACTATTGATGCTTAACTTTAAGTACCAGACTGTAATAAAACACATAATAAGAGTCCCTATAGGACTTTAGAGCTTTCAGATTGATAGACGATAGCAGTCAGTAGCTTTGTTTTCTGTCTATGTGGACAGAAGGCTGGAGGAAGAACTATAGGTGCTGGGTGACCAGTCTAAAATATATCATCATAGTCCCAGAGAAACATCTGGTTGTGAACAGATGAACAGATGCTGATAATCTTCTTTATTGTGGTAAATAGTTGCTGTATTACTTTTTTTGCAAATATTACTTTTGAATAATGTGCTGTTTCTTTTCTACATTTTCATGTAGTCACATCTGTCTATGAAATGTGCTAAAACAAATACTTTCCCCTTACCTAACCTTTTGGTTTTAATTGAACTGATTTCATTAATGCTATGCTATGGACAGGAGCTGTTGGTGTTTATATGATTTTCTGAAAACATGTAAATCATTCATGGTTTGTGTCATTTTGAATTGTTACTGTTTGTTTTCAATCACTGGCAAAATCACCCAGAATGAATATCACACATTATAAATGAAGGGGTAGCTGTGTGCATGAATATGTAAATAATAACCTTTGCTTAACAAATTCCCAGAGTCTATTACATCCATAACGTTTACTGATTAATGCAACCCTGTAATGGGTCAGTGGTGGGGAGCACGAACTTTGGTGTGTGTGTGTGTGTCTGTGTCCTTAAATCACTGGGGTTGGCTAACCAGGGACGGCTGGCCTGTGTTGGACCTGTTAATCGAGCGTTAAAACGGCCCGTCATAAACATCTGGCTGCAGACTTCTGCAAACAACCTTAGGACCTGGGAACACAGTCACTCTCTCTCTGTCCACCCAACTGTATTAAACACAGAAACACACACACACAATATTTTAAAAACCCACTGATTCACTGCTGCACACACTCCCACAAACAACATGACATCACCAGCCTCCACGGCCTCCCGCACATGTACAGTACAGAAATTCAGTGACTTCATCGGCCGAACGCAGATGTTCTCTCTTACACAAAAACATGTAGACACACACTCAACATAAACACACTCATTACACACACATGGTGCATCGGACCTGTGACAGTGACGCAGTTCCAACACCATTACGTAAAGGAGAAGTGCTAGCATGTGTTGTTAAATGCAAAGGGGGAAAGGGGACAGATACAGAGAGAGGTTATGGTGCATGACATCATCTGATCTGAGGTCAGTGGGTGGCGTCAAGTGTAGCAGTTTTGGGGAGTGATCTCAAACTTGAGTGGATTTGCTGGTTATCAGCCTTTTATTTGCTGAAAACAAACAGCTCCAATCAGTGCGATGACCAAAGCACAACTCCGGGTTTACACATGCTACACATTGTTTGGACCAAACAAAATCATAACAAACATCCAAACCCACCGGTGGTCTGCTCCTGATTGGATCTGCATGTGAGGGCAAAGTTGGATGTAAATTTAACTCTAACCATTACATAAGTGGATGAGTCTAACTTGTATACTTGGATGCTGTTTGAAGTATCTGTTTCCATTTACTTTTAAAGTCACACATTAGTCCCACGTTATATTCTCTGCAATTCATGGATAGAAATAGTTGGAAACCGCAGTGTATCACAGCAACAGCTGAGCCAGAGGACTGATGTAGCCACAGTGAGCAGATAATGCGACATTGGCTTTGGAGGTCAGTAGGTTTGTTTGACCTTTGACCCTTTTTCTTTTTCTTACAGGCAAGATGACATCAAGCACCAAGTGGGCAGCTCTCTAAAAGCTCCCACTCTGACTGTTAAGAGCCAAACGGAGGTGAAGATGCCAGATGGTAATGGCTAGTGTTGCCACTGAGTTATGGAGGCAGTTGTAATCTCAGTGGCATTGTCTGCTCCAGGGCAGCAGCCAGAGACTTCCTGGCTGCCGTCACACACTCCTTAGTATGACTGCACTCTTCCCAGGCACACACACACACAGACACACACACACATGCTGTAAAACATCCCTTATCCTCACTGAAAACAAAACTCGGTGAATCACATCCATGCGGGGGAAGAGCTCAAAACACAGAGTGACATCATCACAACTTCCTGTTTCTTCTCTGTTGCCACAGCGACCAGGATTTGCATACTTTAGGCGATTGGTGGATGATGAGTCAGTACAGTTCAGTCCCGTGTTGCTCTTCAACTACAACAAAACCATATCCCCTACTCTGTTCAGCTCCTGCCGGGCCGGAGCACCGGAAAGCCGTGACCAAACATGGCTGAGATGTGACTCCATGGCTCATCTCAGTGGAGGTGTGGGTGACCAGAGTCCCTCCTCCATGGGGTTTTGTGTGACCCATGGGAGTTCATGGCATACATGTCAGACTTCCTAACAGTGTTGGTTTTGGAAACATGAATTAAAATCTGTGCTAATTGGCCTAAATCATTAAAGGGGATACACAGGCCTTAACACTATAATGAAAAAATACCAAATCCTGGAAAAAAAAGGTACTTTAACATAAAAAAACATGAATAAATAGTATTTTTCTGTATTTTCATCCTCGCAAACTTAAGTCTGGATGGGGTGCCACTCTTTGCTCTGATCATGATTATAACATTGTGTTCATTGCAATATGGCGACAATAAACCCCAGTTATATGTTTTTAATACCATTTCTGTCATTGCCCTTACAAAGATCCATCCATCCTCCTATTATCCATTAGCCCACTGCTTATCCTTTAAAGGGTCAGGGGGGTTAGCCGGAGCCAATCCCAGCTGACATTGTGTGAGAGGCGGGGTACACGCTGGACATGTCCTTATAGAGAATTCAAAGCTTTATTTTCCAACACTTACTTTACTGAATGGCTTTTACTTGATTGTTTCTTGCAATTAGCTAAATGAGCTTGTGTTATTGTATCTGCTGTCATTGATATTAGATATTCTACTATCATCTGCTGTATTTGATTTGAATGATATTCTTGTTTTTATTCATCCTCTTTGTGAAGCACTCTGCTCAAGGTGCTTTATGCATAAAGTCATTACTATTATTAATACAATGTATTTTGTGATTACTGCAATAAAATATGTAAACCTCTATCTGTGTGAATCGTATCTATTAATTCTGTTTTGTTGCGCAATTGTTGGTTGTCTCACTTAAGACATGTCATTTTGTGCTTGCTAATTACATGACTATAGGTTCTAATTATAAATGATAAATATTACAAAGCATTATAAATGTTTTGAGGTCTTCCATAAAAAACTAATATTATTCTCAATGAGAGCAACAGATAGAGAAGCATCATCAGAGAAAACAGAGGCCACTGCAAAATGTATTATTATATCTTATAGTAACAGTTGTCAAGGTCAAACACTGGAGAATGTAACACAATAATAAACCAGCTCTCACAAGCTTCTAAGGCAAAGTGTAGTTTGTAACTTAAATTGTGCAGAAGACCTTCAAACTTACAAGGGGTATTCACCATCTTTTACTATGTTCTAAAATGTCCTCACACTTTACTCAAGTCTAGATAAACAATATTTTAGTAGTGAGTGGTGCATATTCTATATACAGATTCTGTATTTTCTTTTCATACATTTCATTTTTTTATTTCATTGCCTTTTTTATCTCTATATCTATACCTCATTCTGACAAGTTCCCAAGTGTTATCAATAAAATGTTATCTAATCTTATCTGAACTGTTTTATCAATCAATCAATTAATTAATCAATCAATCACACAGACACACACACACACACACACACACACACACTTCAAAGCCGGTGCTCTAACCCTGACTAAAATATATAATAAGGCTAGAAAATATATAAACTGACAGATAGATACATAAAATAAGGAAAACAGATATATATTCTCATATCAAGAGAACAAACAGCATCATAATCCTGAGATAAGTTTTAGAAAGAAGCTGTTGCTCATTTAGACGAATGAACTCGATACAGCCTCCGGGACGTCCCGACACAAAGTGAGGAGAGGGTGAAAATGAAAAAAAACAACTCATCCCCCCCCCCCCCCCCCCCCCCCCCCCCCCGTTGTCCCGTCACGTTGCCTCCGGTGTGTGTGANCCCCCCCCCCCCCCTCCCCTTGGTCTGCCTCCGTTGTCCCGTCACGTTGCCTCCGGTGTGTGTGACTCCACCGTCGGTTCCAGCTCCACCACCTCACCGCGGCTCCCGTCCCGTCCCCCTACCGGCCGGTGCCGTAACCCCGCCCCCCTTCCCCTCTCTCCGTACGGGACCGCAATGATTTAGAAGTTCAGGAATCCCACGTGACGTCACCGGGAGGATGATGTAATGCTTCTGTAAATAGAACGTATTGTAATCTCGCTCCAGTCCAACGTGGTTCCTCCGGAGCGCCGCTCGTCCCGCGCGACTCGTCGGTAAGCGATCGACACCCTCCATTCAGGAAAACACACTTTAAACTCGCCACACCGACACAGCAGACCCACATGTTTGTTATCCAAGTCTGTTTCCATGTGATTCTCTGAGTTAGAAGTTTTTGTTCCTATGTGTCTATTTGGGGGGTGTGACAGCAGCGGGCTCGTACAGCTGGGTGCCGGAGCTTCTTGTTTATGAACGGAGTGGGGGGGAGGACAGGTTGCCTTCACGGAGACGTAGATAACGGGGACACACACCGGGTCATGTTGCCCGGAGTGGCCGGAGGATGCGCCGCTCAGAGCCGCTGTACCTGAGCTGTCCGCGCTGCACTCGCCGGTTGTTGACATTCATCCGCCGAAACATGGGAACTTTGAGGAGCAGTGAGTAGCTTTTAAACTTTCTGGATGTTGTGTCTCCATCCGCGAGCTGGAGGTGGTTTTTAAAAAAGTTGTGTCGTGTCATTCATCGTCCGTTGATCACGAGGCAGAGGCGGGAAATAAAAGTGGGTTTCTGTGTAATTATCGATGCTTGTTAATCCGTCTTAAATGGGCAGCGTGTCTGTTGGATTTATGTATTATAGGCATGACGTCACTGTGCATTGATGTAACCACTGTGACAGAAGGTTTTGGGGGAAATGTGCTGAGTCTGCTCATGTGGTACAAAAGCTGCCAGATCAAGAGGGAACAAAACTGTTGAGGATACTTGTGATAATCTCCAATAGTGTTAGATTGTGTTTATATGAAATATCACCTTACATGAATACAAGAAGAGATACACACTGTAATATTTAGAAGATCAAATATTAAACAATGATAGCCTGTGCTTTAACTGCGTTATCGTGCCTTTATATTTACCTATAAGTGTGGTGTTATGAACATATTCTGTTTTATAACACACAAACATTCATGCCCACACTCACACACATACACACACACACACACACACACACACCCACGCGCACAAACACACATGCACGCACACACTTATGAAGTCACCTTGCCCGGAGTTGGAAAATGGGGGCTGAGGCAGGTTCAAACCTGTCAGGAGCGTAGGCCTAACAGCGCTGCCCTCCCTCTGCCACCTCCCTCCCTCATTCCATCTCTCCTCCATTCATTGTGTCATCCTCCTCTCTCCAGCTCCCTCTCTCTCCCTCTCACTCTCTCTCTATTTCTCTGTCGCTCTCTCTGTCTTTCTCTGTCGCTCTCTCTCTGTCTTTCTCGTTCGCTCTCTCACTGCCACTTGCCCTTTCCATTCCCCTCTCCATCACCCTCATGTAACCCACACACACACACATATACACACACTTTCCATTTCTTATGGAAGCATGTACTTTTGGCCTGTCTTTCCACGCTCCTTTCTTTAGCTCTCACTCTTTCCCATAACATCAGGACCCACTCTCGGCTCAGGCAGACCCAAAAGTTTTAGAGGGCACGTTTTTACCTGCGAATATGTATCCAATGCACAACTCATCATCTCCACCCAAGCGACACTTCTTCTTCTTCTTCTTCTTCTTTTTGAGGAGGTCTGACCTGATGACCTCTGTGTCGTCTCTGGGAGTATGTGAATCTTCTGGTGACATGCAGCTCGGAGGAATGCCTGAGGTCAGGGAGGCTTCTTCCTTTGCTCTCAGTGGAAAATGAAGGGGCCAGTAGCAGTTGCACTTTGTCATAATTACCCCTCCGCCCCATCACTGGTTTAATATCTCCCATGGAGAGCAGGCTGGGTCAAGCCTGGGTTAGTAGTGAGGTGCAAGTGGGTTTTGTTATTGTGCTCTATTCTGCGTTTGTGTATTATTTTATCCTAGCCTATATGGTGACTTGATTTTTACATTCCACAATCGCATTTGCTTTAGTGACTGATGCTCTCGATGAAAGTGTAATTGTGGGCTGAAACTATTGTGCTGCACTTTGACTTCGATGCCCTTTGGTTTTTACAGTTATTTATCGTAAACACAAGCTGATTCTCTGTATAACAGTGTTTGTCTTAAAACCAATGATTTGTGTGCTGCAGAGATTTGTGACCTCCATCATCTGTGGCCTCTATCTCATTACACACCTCAAACAACAAACCAGTCTGGGGTTGAATGTAAGCGTCATATGTTAAGTTTGACATGAGGCAGTGTTGATGATGCTGCAGGTTAAACTTGCTCTCCTTCTGCTTCGTAGGTTTGTGGATGACATGAATGACAAACAGGACAGGCCTTATGTGTGCGGCGCCCCGGGCTGCTCTCAGGTTAGTTGTGAGTACTGTGTGTGTGAGTAAGACCTTCACTAAAGAGGCCACAAATCCCAGAGAAAAATAATCATGATAAATTAATTACTGACAGTAACAGATTAACACGAAATAAAAAAATTAAAAGTTAGTGTCTGTATGCTGGGACAAATTTAAGATTTGATTTGTAATACAATCACAGCAATATATGTGTAAAGCATACTCCTAAGGCTGTGTGAGATTAATTATTATATTATTAGAATAGTGGTAAAAATCAGAATTGTCAACAGTCCTCTTAGATAAAGGTGAAAACATAACTATAACTGAGCGATATGTGGTTAAATGAGGTCAACTGTGCAGCCCTGGATTCTATGCTGGGAAAAAAATGAGAGTGGATTTCCAGGCTGATAATTATAGGATTATTCAGGATTTTTAGATTCAATGTTTTATTTGAAATATGATCATGCAATATCACATAACATACTCTTAAGGCTAGTGTGTGATTAAGAATTATGTTATCAGAATAACATTAAGTAAGAATTGAAAAAGAAATACAATGGATAAAGCAGCAAGCACCATACCTGGGGCGACGGGGCCTTTTCCATAGCTGCCCCCTCCCTCTGGAATGGTCTCCCTAAACTAATCACACACAATACAACTCAAAAGTCACCTTTTCAGAGCTGCTTTTAATGTTTGATTATGACGTGTATCTTATATTTGTAATTATTGTTTTCATCTCATTATTATTACTATTATCATAATAATTATTATCTTTATCATTATTAAAAATCAAATGTCTATAATGTCCTGTGTGTGTGTCATGTCGAACAGCTGCACGCATCTCTTCATCTCTTTCTCACTCTGTCGATGTGCTGCAGCGCTTCCAGTCGGAGGAGCACCTGATCATCCACAGACGCAAGCATGAGATGAGCCTCAAGTTCCCTCCCATCAAAACAGACACAGCCTTTACAGGTGAGACGCACAGCACGTGAGTTTAATCCAACATCCACCAATCATGTTAAGGGGATGGTTTGCTTTGTAATTTGCAGGTTGGGCCCTTTATCTGCCCACAAATATTCGTAATTCCCCCCCTATCTTTTTGTTCAGATATACTCCATGCCTGCATGTGTGTGTGTGCGTTTGTGTGTGTGTAAATGTGACCTCTTCTCAGGATCAGTGCTCGATGAGCAAATGATGGTGCGACGTTATACAATATGAAATCAGATAAGCTCGACACAAGCTTCCTTCTCTTCAGATGGGCTGCGCTGTGACATGGAGCTGCTCATGTTGCAGCATGTACACTGTACCCCGTCAGATTAGACCAAACATAGTGATAGTGCCATCAGCGACAGCCCACTTTGATTTAGAGTGTTGGGGAGGGGTTCGGTGCACATGGGTCAGCACAAGTCATCTCGAAGATTTGAATCTTTATTGGATGCCGAGTAAAAGTAAGGGAAGCAGGAGACAATCTGCTGGGAGGTTTGCATGGATGTGACCATGTCTTTACTCACAGGGAAGCTTAATTTACCCTATAGCACCTAACCCTAAATTGTTATCATTTTAGCAGGATTATGTTAATTTACTGCGATATAGACAAAATATTGATCAGTATCAGATTCACTAATATGAAATAATCATATATCATAAATGGGTGCACACTTTAAAACAGTTACTTATAATACTAGATCATTTGCGCTTCACTTTCTTGAATAACTGTCAGAAAAAAATTCTTATCATATGCAACAAAGAAAGGCAGCATATACTCACATTGAAGGTGCAAGAACAAGAGAGTGTTTGAGACCAATTCATTTCTGTTGCTCAAATAACTGATTAATTAGCTAATGATTATCTAGAGACAGTTCAAATATATATCTTTTGAAATGAACTGCTTCTTTTGGAAATTTTATAAATTCTGCATCTTCTTTTTCTACTTTCAAAGCGTAATTCATCGTCATTTAAAAAAAAAGAAGCTAATCCAACAAGAATCTGTTACTGGAGTGCAGAGATTTTATGTCCAATTGTGTTGTAGGTGCCTTTTGTGATAGATAACATATCTTTAAAACTCAAGCAATGTAATACTGGATATCACAATAAATAATTTAAAATAAAAACACTAACAAAATGCTGTTAATTAAAGACAAAATCAGTGATCTATACTAGACACCTCTAGTAATACTTCACAGCTTTAAGGTTGTAAATGTAAAAGTGTCCACACAGATAATATAAGATGCACAACAGCAGCATGATGATTGGCTTCACTATCCGGCCTTGGACCGCCATGATGCACTCACTACCAGACCGCTGTCATGTGACACTGGCTGTAACCATAGAAACAGCTGTATGTCTGAACATAAACATTGCCTGACATCTGACCTCTGCAGACTCTGCCTCTGTGCTCTGTGTGCGTGTGTGTGTGTGTGTGTGTGTCCTGCAGCTTGTCACATCTCCTGCAGGAAATCTTATGTCAAAACAAAGAGCCCAGTTGACCTTTGACCCCTGCATGTTTAGATGGCTCAGAGAGTCAGACTGATGTTATCTCAGGCAGAGACAGAGCATGGCAGAGAGGAGAGTTGTTTCTCCTCTAGCAAATAAGCTGAGACATGAACGTTTGCTGATTTTTAAAAAATTGCCTCTCTTTTTTTGTGTGTGCTCTTACACCGTGATTCCAGACCAGACACCAACGCCAACCCGATTTTTGCAGAACTGTGAAGAGGTTGGTCTGTTCAAGGAGATAGAGGAGGAGTTTCTTCAAGCACAAGAAGAGGAAAAGAGCAAACAGGTGAATTCACAAGAAACATTATATATAGCAAGTCAAATTACAAAGAATTTCACATTAAAAGCAAGAATCAAGACAGACTTATCCCTTGTTACTGGTGTTTGCTTCTGAGGTCTGTCAATTTTGTGTTTTGATTGACACCCGAGTGTGAGGGTGATAAAATCAGTCAGTCTGCAGATATCTGACTCCTGCGAGGATACACACACCCGACGATTGCATTCTGCCCCGTAAATGAAATAGCTAGACATCAAACGCACCTACAAATAATCTACACATGCATGTACCTCAGATCACAAAACACACACACAGTGAAAGCAGATATTGCCCTCTGAGTTCAAAAGTGGTCCCAGCTGTTTGTCGCTCCCGCCTCTCCCCCGCAGACGCTTAACCATAATGGGCCGTCCTGTATGAACCAGCACCAGCTCAAAACCCAGCTTCAGCTCCAGCACACGCATCCCCAGCCTCAGCACCCACATCCCCAGCCACCGCTGCACCATCCCCACACCCACGCTCTGCAACGGCCACAGTGTCATGGCCCCATGATGGCCCCCAGCTGCAGCCTGGCTGCCCAGCAGACACTGTCCTCCTCCCAGTCCGGATCGGTCATCACCCAGGCTCCTTCCACGCTCACACACACAGGGTGAGTATCGGTGCACAACTTACACACCGTAACATTGATTGAATGCTTCACATACATATTTCCTTCTTCCTATTTGCCGTTTCTCACCCTTTCTTCCTCTCCTTCACCCCGTCTCGCCCTTCCTGTTTCTGACATACTATAACTCATTCTGTCTGGCGAAGTCTGGTATTTCCCCCTGCATAATTGATCACTGCACTAATGAACTGAGAGAAATAGCAGGGTGAAAAAATAAAATGTACATTTACTGAGAGAATAGCAAAAGAGATGGAGAACCCCTTCGTAACGACAGCACCTACCCCTACACCCCAACACCCACCTTGGTTATGTGTATTTTTTTTGAGACTCCAAGTCTGTCAGTGTCTGGGCAGCTTCCATGGCTCCCTGGTTATCACCCAGTTCAAGAGACAGATTAGAGGAGTTCCTGCCTTTCATCTGATCAGCTCCCAGCAGCTGCTCCCCGTCTTCCCAACAGCTCAGTTTTGAGGATTTGTGAACGGCAGTAGGCTCACAGCCATCCGAATATTAGATTACATAGTGAGTTTAATGGGTTAAGTGTAAATTAGCACAGCAATTTGATTGTGACCTGCACTTTAATGAGAAACTGTGTTTTGTTTAATATTATGATGTAAAATTCGAATTAATGGAACTATTTAATACAATTTAATAATTTTATTAAATTAAAATGACACATGAATTAATCAATCTTTTTTAAATAAAACTCTATAAGACTAAAAATTCTAAATTCTTTCGCCACAGGCTGTGGACATTTAAATTTTAAATGAAGATTATGCTAGCAAAAATAATCTATATTAAAATGTTATGTTAATTTATATTAGATTTGAATTTGAAGAATTTGCAATTTTTTAAATTCATGGATGTGTGACATTTTGACGTTTGTTACTGTATTTTCCAATTTATATTATATTATATCATATTATGCTTTTCTTAACAGCTTAGACTTCAACTGACACATCAACATTATTCAGTGCTTTGATTTAAACTGAAACAACCTCTTTTATAAATCATTTAAATTATTTTAATGTGTGTTTGCTGTGGAATAACAATAACTTTACCAATATTCTTCAGTGAGCTTTTTGTAGTTATTGTATTGATGTGTCTCCAGTGAATAAATTAAATTCTTTGGTTTGATGTTAACATTAGTTATAGCGTTGTTTTTGTTTTTTTTCCTACTTTAATACTTTTTGCATTTTAATTGTTGTTTTGAGAATATAGGGTATTGACACACAACAGTAGCAAGAGATTGAAATGTAACACAGGCTTCCAAAGAGATTCAAAATGCGAATGTTGCAATTATATTGTCAACACTTAAAATTCCACAGAGTGCCTGATATTTATAAGATTATTCTTAATAGTTTGGAGACTAAGAAGGAATTTTGAACTTTTCTTCTCTTTTCCAAAATCTTAGTCTTTTAAAAGCAAACACCTTCTTATCTCCTCTCTACGAACCTATTACTCATTAATGCTTGCAACAGATAGAGCACATAAACCAACCCACTGTCACATCTCGGCAGTTGATTAAATGAGTCAAGGTACCAGAAGTAAGTCAGTGACATAATAACGTCCGCACATCTGTCCCGGACCAGACAGGAAAGTGAAAAGAGAGAGAGAGAGAGAGAGAGAGAGAGAGAGAGAGCTGACAATAAATCAGTACCAGCTGATTCTAGACAGAGCGTTAGTCAGTGAAACCAGCAGAGTGTTACTAAATCGACCGTGGATTGTGTGTCTGACTGTTTCTCCTTGTGTTTATCAACGGTTTCTATAGCAACCTGGTCTCTGAGTGTCTGGCGGTTGGCCCGGTAGAACTGTTGTGGTTACATTAGGAAATGTTGTTTTGGTTTGTCTGAACCTTGTTGTGCGTTAAACGGGGGCCACATAGCCCAGATTCAGTGATGACATCATTGCCGATGACCTCAGCACGGCCACGGAGGCCCACGCTGTCTGATTGGCCGGGAGCCAGAGCGGTTAGGTCAGCACATGGCACCCTGGGTCTCTGCATTCCCCGCTGTGATCCCTGAGCTTCTCTCCTCCTTCCCAAGCTGCCACTTTTTTTTCTTTCCCTCCGTTTTCTTTCACTTTTTTCGACTCGTCATACTTTCCATTGTCATCACCTCACCTCAAACCTCTGTTTGCGCCTTTTTACTCGCGTACGATAACTTTTTTTCCTTCCCTTCACTTTCACAGTGTTGTTTCATCCAGGTTACAGCATATTTTCAAGTTTCAGTTTTATGTGCCCACATTTTGGGGAAAGTGCCATTTTTTTCTCTACTGGATTGTGATTAAATTATTTTAAACAGCATATACACACATTCAGCTGCATCTAGACAATGTTAAACACTTATTCACACTCTAAAGAAGAGCGCAAGAGGAAAAATTACATCTACCAAGATTTTGGACAAAAAACAGATAAAAATTGCTTTAAGACGGCTTTACCACAGTGGTATGAAAGAATTATAGTTACAACAGGAAAATATAAGACAAGTTCAACTGTTTGAATTATATCAAATTTAGCCTACAAATATGGCAAAACTGTTTCTGTCGCTGTAGAATGACAGTGAAAAGAATCAGCATTGAAAAATAACATATTTAGCCTAATAATTCAATAGAATCATCTTTTTCCAATAACAATGTGTTATCCTGGATAATCTACAGAACGACTGTTCACAGTAAAGGTCTGTGATATGTTATCCATTAAAAAAACAGGATTGTTTCTGATAAGACACATTGTTGTAGATTGTGATTTTTTCCATTCACCTTCATTGTTTTGGGGTGAAGGTAATAATCCAAGGAATAGATATTTCAAAACTGAAAACATCAACCAAAACTAGACTCATGTTTGGATACCTCTAGAGGTCAGTGAGAGGTTAAGATTCTTTTGTTTTTTAATATTATCATTTTGCTGAACCGACACTTTGAAATAAAAGATATGAGGGCAGGTGTATCTTGTTGATTTTCTCCTTTGAGTCATAGTTGAGTCACATGACTGGTGTGGTGGGTAGCACTGTCCCCTCCCCCCGGTGCATGGGTATTAGGTTAATTGGAGACTCTAAATCAACATTAGGTTTGAATGTTATTATGAATGGTTGTTTGTGTCTGTATGTTGGCCCTGCGATACTCTAGCGACCTATCTAGGGTTTATTCCGCCTCTCGTCCAATGCCAGCTGGGATTGGCTCAAGCTCCCACCTACGACCCTCCAAGGTTAAACAGTGTAGATAATGGATGGATGAATCTAGCTGAAACTCATTTGCCCTTAAGACAGCTAATAAAGATTTGACTTTGTCACCCGTCCCTCCCTCTCTCTGATCACAGCCCAGTTCCCGGGCCGCTGTCCTCCCTCCTTTACATGCGGAACAGACATAGACAGCCGCTGCCGGCCTCCTTACCTGGCACGCTGCCTGATCCCGCCATGCAGGGAGCGTCTGCACAGCACATGTCTGTAAGTATAATACAGGTTATCCACACATACACACACACACACACACACACACACAACCGGATGCATTATCATTTATACATGCAGGTAAAGTGGCCAAAGTGGTCAAGTTCCCCGAGTTAGAAATATTCATGGCTGACAGAAAAATTCACTTCACTCTTATGGATGAATTAATGAAAAGAGTCAAACTCCAGATGGAAGTGACCTTGAGCAGGACCGTGTACGTGTTGGTGCTGATGCTTTCTCTTGTCACTGTTGAAATGTTATTTTTGTGTCAATTTCTTCTTTTATTCAGATAGAGAAGCAGATGTCTTGTCTAATGGGGATACCAGGTCCCGTACACAACCCCTCCTGTTCCTCGCCTCAGGTACCGACCACCAGTCATATTCTCTTCCTGTCTCTGTGGAATATTCCTTTCTCCTCTGGTTATAACACTGTGCTTTGCTGTAGGAGTAATAACCATTTATGACAATATTAGGTGTAATGGCTAGACTGCTAGTGGTGCATGCTTGTGGTTTTATAGGAACATAAAGGAATTTTTTTTTTCTGGTAGTGGGTTAGAAAAGTTTGAAACAGGAAACGACGGGTTTAGCTCTGTGCAGCAGGAACAAAACCAGCCTATAGCTGTGCTTAAGGGGTTCTACCAAGCCCACGAAAGAAGAGGTCCTCATGGGCCGTGTAGAACGTGAAGGCCAAAATGAAAGGAGACTGTTTGTTCCACAGAGGCTTTTCATGATTGGAGTGTGATTCCCAAGCACTGGGCGTCTTGTCACATTTCCTCTTTGAAAAAGGGTTTTGTCATCGAAGTGCAGTGAATCCTGGGATAGGTTGTGTCAGGAGGGATCCACCCTTTGTTTCTTATGGATGGAATTAAGGAAGCATTTGTCAGCTACCTTCGAAATTGGACAGCCTAGACTCTTGCTATTGCAGCCTTCGAAGGATGCAGCACCTGAATTGAGGCAAAGCTTCAAATGACCTCTAAATCTCATTTGTTTTATTTGTTGGGTCATTTAGATTTTGTTGGTTTCATATGTGTGTGGGTGTAAGTGTAATGAGTATAAAAATAAGAATTTGCTGTTGGGCCAAGACATAGTCCGGCATATAGCCCTCTGTAAAACAGTGAGTTACAATTTACAGATTAAACCAATGAAAGATAATATGTTAAATAAGGCAAACGTTTGTATCTTTGGACAGATCCATTGTAGATGTTTCCCCCCAGTTATTAATCTTTATTCTAAGCTCAGTTTATTGGCTACAAGCAGTGGCTTCAGATATGAGCGTGTTACTGATTCTCTCATCTAACTCTCTGCCAGACAGCAAATCAGTGTATTTTCTGAAATGTCTAAGTATACCTTTAACTCTATGATTTCATTCTTATCCTCTCTATACACGTCCCAATATTATGACAGATGTGCTGGCAGTATTCTTAAGGATTATTGTCTCAGACAGATTTCTGTTAAATGTATTCCAGAGAGGATCTGAATTAATAAAATCAGCAAATAAGCAAAGAGCAAGGAGAATGATGTATCACTGAACTGTTAGGGGATGTAGTTTAGCTTGCATGGACGCACTTTTACTTGAGGGACAATAATGACAGTAAAGGAAGATGGGCCCCTGGCTTGGTTAAATTGGGCACAATGGCAAATCATTTCATTTGTGCTGCAAACAACTCAAACAGCCAGGTATATGTTTTAGCATCATATGTCAAAAAATGGCAGGAAAGCAGCTGCATTATGAACAGTAGTGGAATGGTGCTTGAATCTTTATAACTACACTTGTTTGGCAGGCATTTCATTTATCTCCTTTTCTTTCTTTTTCTTTATGAAAACCAATGCGAAGTGACGTACTGTGGAAAAATATTGACCACTATTCAAATATGGCAAATATCGCACAGTACAACCTGAGATAAAATTCTAAGAGTCTCCTGTAGTTTGCCTGATACTGAAAAATCAGTTCAGTAAACACTAAATTGAAAAGGTTTGAAACAGCATTTGAGCATTTTGAAACATTAACACAAAAATGTTGTGTTTCCTATAAGAACCAAAATGATGACATTTGCTAAATCAGAAACTCCTTATGACAAGTTGAGGTTGATTTAATTGTTTTAAGCAGGATATACAGGAAACTGCGATTCAACACTTTAACACACACACACACACACACACACACACATACACAGGACAGGACGTCACCATCTACATGCTCTCTCTGAGTTTTTGGTTGTTATATTTTCCTTGTGTCAACATGCTCTCAATCTCTGCCCTTGTAAATATTACATTTCCTCTTTCCAGGGCCATGTAGTATGAATTGTTAAATATATGTGTGCTATCAAAAGCAACTTCACAGGGAAAACTGTGAAATCACCCTGCAACCATACACACGATTTCTCCCTCCATACACACACATAAGTGTCTTCCCGACTTCTGAGGACTTTACGTTGACTTACATTCATTGCTTAGAGGATTACTTAACCATAATTACCATAAACCATTATCTTAACCTCACATACAAACGGGTTCACCTTAAATCATCATTAGTAATTATGATATTTTATCTTTTACATCATGGGGACTTGCTTTTTGTCCTCATGAGGAAGACAAGTCGCCATGATGTGACGATGTAAACATGTTAGGTCCCCACAACATGATTTATACCATGACCACACACACTCACACACACACACACACACACACACACACAAATACTATCAGAGGTTATGACTTAATGTGCAGAGCTTGTGTATAGCGTGGCAAATGAAAAGTGGTTTCAGCTTTCAAAGCCTCTCAGGTCGTAGGTTCAAATCTGAACCTATCTTCATCTCTTTTACACACACACACACACACACACACACACACACAG